GGCCGAGCCGGACCCGGATCGCCCCGCGCGTGGCCCCGCGCGTGGCGCCCGGGAGCCGTTGGGGCGTCCGCGTGGAGGGCTCGGCGGAGAGTAAAACGACGCGAAGATCGGGACAAAATGGGATCGGAATAGCTCGAAATCTCTGAGAATCGGCGGGTTTGGAGGATGTATTGGGCGCCGCGGCCGCTCCAGAGCGTTCCGGAACGCTCTGAGAGCGCTCCGGAACGCTTTGGAGCGATTTATCCCGATCCTAGCCCTGTGAAAGAGAGAGCTCCCCTCGGCACCGTGCGAGGGGTGCCCGGGGCCTGGGCTTCCGTCGGGCCTGTCCCTCTGCAGGAGGGGTATGCAAACATAGGCGCAGAGAGCTGCCTCTTGGCACCGTGCGAGGGGTGCCCGGTGCCTGGGCTTCCGTCGGGCCTGTCCCTCTGCAGGAGGAGTATGCAAAGATGGTCAAAAAATAGTCCGTGCAGGATTTCGGGAGTATTTTTGAGTATCTCTGGGGTACGTGTTTTTTGTCCAAAAGCCCCCTAGAGGGGGACACGCCCGACTCAAGCCCAGACCCCCTCGAGTCATGACAAAAATCACGACAGAAGGTTTTTCGCTACGCTGGGCCGTTGGGGGCCCTCGCAAGGCCTCGGGGCCGTCAAGAAACCACTCAGGGTGAGAAGCCAGTCCCGCGGAAGGGGTCGAGACCTCCTGGGGGTCGACGTCAGTGGCGTCGGGGGTCTGGGGAGGTCGGCAGGGGTCGCGTCGACTCCAGCCAGATCCTGCCCCCGGGGGCGCCGGGAGCCTTCGCGTGCTCTTCGCCTGTGGTCTCTCTTCCCAGCACCGCCAGCGTCGCGGAGTTGTTTTTTTTGTGCGCGTGCCCGACAGGGCAGCCCCTGCTGCCTTCGACCTCCTGTCTCCTCCCTCCCTTCTCCCTCCTGGCTTCTCCCTCTTCCTTCCTCCTGGCTCCTCCTTCGGGCCTTTGGCCAGACGAGACAAGCCTCCTGCTTTTTTCCTCCTTCATCCTGCCTCTCCTTCATCCTGCCTCTCCTTCTGGCCTTCTGAGCCATTGCTGGCTGAAGGCAAGCAAAACAAGCATACGGTGGCTACTGCGCGCCGGTTTCATTCCGAACATTCGTCGACTTACTGACATTCCACTGTGATGGCGATCTCTTTGCATTGCCCGACGTCAGCACAAAATGGATAATGATGTCACGGATACCCTGTTCCAATGCACCACTTGCGACTCTTGTATTCTCCTGCCCAGGCCGTACACGATTTGCCATGGGGATCTCTGCTGATTTACTCTCTGCACGGAATGCGCGGGCAACCGAGCGGGAAAACACGTCCACAAGAACAACCAGTCGGGAGAAGGAGTAGTGGTAGCACATGTTCCCCCCAAAGCACAGGGCCATACGGGCACCTCAAAGTTTGACCAAGCCGATCGACATTTCTATCCCGGTGGGTGCTCCCGGCAGTGGTAAAACACGTCCATAAGAACAACCAGTCGGGCGACGGAGTAGTGGTAGCACATCCCCCCCCCAAACACAGGGCCATACGGGTACCTCAAGGTTTGACAACGCCGATCGACATTTCTGTCCCCGTGGGGTGTTCCTGGCAGTGTTCCCCAGGCCCAGGATGCTCCCCCACTCAGCGCGCTGGATGACGGCACGGCCCTCCGAGGCGAAGCAGTGGCTGCACGGCAAGCTGCGTTCAAGAAGAGTTTAGACGACGCGCTAGGTGTAAGTCGGGCGTGTCCCTCTTCAGGAGGAATATTCAAACATAGATTGAACAATAGTCTGGGGACGATGCTTCGACTTTTTTGTTTGACTATGTTTTTTCGCCTACAATCCGCCTGTAGGGGGACGCGCCGCTCACAGCCACAAGCCTTGGTGCAATCTTGCAAGTACATTTGAAGCCTATTCAGGACGAGGAACGGGAGGAGGAGGAGGCGGAGGAGGAGGAGGAGAAGGCCGAGGAGAGGAGGAGCAGGAGGCGGAGGAGAGGAGGAGGCGGAGGAGGCGGAGGAGGAAGAGGAGGAGGGGGAGGAGGAGGAGGAGGAGGAGGAGGAGGAGGAGGAGGAGGAGGAGGAGGGAGGAGGAGAGGAGGAGGAGGAGGAGGAGGAGGAGGAGGAGAGGAGGAGGCGGAGGAATGTGAAGGACGAGGAGGAGCAGGAATGTGAAGCCCTCGTGGGACGACATCGACAAAACAAAAACACGGCATATATCTCCAGGGACGAGCGGAGCACCACCACCATGAAGCCTCTCGGGTCCAAGGCGCGTATGGCATCACCCGCAGGAGTCCAGACCCTGCGGGACACCGTTTTCCGAACTCGTCGTGCGCATCTGCGCGTCCTCAATGGCATTTGCCATTCGGGGAACGAGCAATGACATCGACATAACAACTCGGAGGTCCGCGCATTTTTTTCGGATCCGCGCGCCTCTGGCGCGCTCCGCGCGCCAGGGAGGGAGGTCCAGCGCCGATCCGAGAAATCCACGCGGACCTCCGAGTTTCTATGTTCATGTCATTCTTCGCTCCCCTAATGACAACTGGCCCTGAGGACGCGCAGATACGCACGACGAATTTAGACACGGTTTCAAAGACGCGATTTAGTATCCCCCAAAACTTCCATCGGTACTCCAAGGTCCGTTTCTGGGGCTTCCCAGGGCACGGTAGTCGTATACCAGCATCAAGGCAAGCGTGCGGTGACAGCAGCCACCGGGAATTTGGAGAATCTCGGCGCTGCCACGTCTGCGTGCACATATATTCGGGAGCAGTTGCTTTCGATGAAAGGGCGGATTCCCAGGAACATGTACGCCAGAAGGGAGTTCTGAAGCATAGTGTTCTCGGAGGTTGACACCATGCTTGACAGTGACACAGCGGTAGCATTGCTACGCAGTGGGAACGTGCAGCGCTCAGGCAGCACCGTATGGTCAACCCAGGAGTGGGAACCAGCTGACCGCGCTGCACAATACTTCTGTCGTGGGGCAAAACACATCCTCAAAAGGACACGCGCAATCCGTACACCATCCGAGCACCAGAAGGACCTCTCGACGAAGTTCGCGTGGGTGGAGAATTAGCTCTTACGGTGAATAGTTACGGTACGAGTATTAAGAAGCATCGGGGGTAACTGGCTCCAGTTGCAAATCAACCCGAACTCACGGAATCGAGCGTAATCTGCGACGTTTTTGCTTCAGCGGGCAGTTTCTGAGATTTGAAGGTGGCGGCAAAGGACCTCCCGCTGGGACATCGCCCAAGGAGGACGTACGGCGGGCATCACAGACTGTTGACACTCAGTGCGATGCCCAGACGCCAATAACACATACAGCCCTCTCAGATGGATCAGTACACGCCGGTCGTTGAAAGCAGGTCAATCTACTTCACGCGCCTTCCTACTTCAAGAGTCGGCATGCTTTTGCTGTGTTTTGTTGTTCTCTGGGAGGGCCTGGACCCAATCCACTTTATCCACCTTCCTACTTCATGTTTTAACTACCTCTTCCGACCGACGTGTAACAAATACGGTCCTCTCAGATAGATCGGTACGCTCAGAACTCTTTTGTTCATCTTCGCATACCTGTGCCAGATCCGGGCCCCAACATGGACATGACGACTTGCATCAATTAGATCAGAGCCAAACGAACGAACAAGCCATGCGCCAGTAGGCGCGTGGGTAAAAGCATGCGTCCAGCAAGCTCGACGCGGGATCAAGGAACATGCCTTTCCTTGCTTAGATCAGAACCCATACTCCAGATTTCGTAATAAAGGAAGGGGGGTCTTATCTCGGGGGGGTCTCTTCCAGGCTATCTTGGAGGGCCTGGGGGGGTCTGGGGACGATGTTTTGGAGGGTTCTCCCACGGGGGGGGTCTGAAATGGCTTGTCTTGGAGGGTCCAGACCCCCTCCCTTTTATTGCGAAATCTGGAGTACCTCCAAACTCCAGCATCTGACTTCCCACCCCCCTCGCCACCTATTGACCTCCAACCTCCACGAGATCAGAGCTCCGACCTCCAGCCTCCTGCATCCGACTGTCCATGTTCACCTTCGCACATCGACCTCCAGCCACCACCAGCTCGGAATCCCGACTCCCAGCCTCCAGCATCCGGCTTGAGATTTCCACCTCCACCTATCGACTTTACCATTCCAACAGCTGAACACTCCGACCTCCAGCCTCCATCTTCCGACTTCCCAACTCTACCTCCACCCCTTGACCCCCAGCCACCACTAGCTCAACACACCGACCTCCTCCAACCTCCAGCATTTGACTTCCCACCTCTACGTCCACCTATCGACCTCTAACTTCCACCAGCCCAGCAATCCGGTCCCCCGTCTCCAGCATCCGATTCCGACTAAGACCACCGCCATTTTGGGGAAAGTACGGGCGTGGGCAAACATATCATTGCCATGAGCTGTCCGGCAACCGCGTGTCCTACAGCACAGGCTTATTCGATTCCAGCTGCGCACATCTAGTCTCCCGCACCCAGCTCCCAGCCTGGCCCTTGTGTCCCTTGGCCCAAACATCCCGACCAATCCAGGCCCGCAGTTTTGGACGCTATTGCTTGCACGAGTCCGGGCAAAGTTTCCCTCATGCAGCACACAGCGGATGTGCCAGGATCTTGCTCATCACGGGCTGCCCCTGCTGATGACGGGACAGCACCAGGGCCACCTACGTGCACAAGCTCCTCTATGATCAGTGCCGGGTCAGAGCCCCTGTGTGGACATGCTGAGCTTCATCGGACAGGTCATCATCCTTCCCATTCTTTCACGACCTCGTCAAGTTCGATGTTAGGTCAACTTTACGACCTCCAGTCTCCAGCATCCGACTTTCCATTTTTACCTTCGCTTACCGACCTACTGCCTCCCCCAGTTCAGCAGTACGACTTCTGGCCTCCAACATCCGACTTTTCGCATACACCTCTACCTAGCGACCTTCAACTCCTACAGTCTGACCTCCAACTTACACCTTCTAACTCCCAGTCTCCAGCTTCCGACTTCCAGCCCACGCCGGCAACTATCGATCCCAAATCTTGGACGATCAGTTCTCAGCCCTCATTCCCTGATTTGCAACCTTCTCCTCTCGGCTCCAGCTCCCGCGCCCCAACCTCTAATCTGATACCTCCGCGGCCCTACCCAGAGGAGCACGAGGAATCTGATGACGAGAAGGATCAGGATCAGAAGCAGGAGTATGTTTCACCATTGAAGTATACAGGGGTATTGACGACTCCACGAAGGCTGGGGACTACCTCTCTGACAGTCTGTTTGGCTCTGGCCCCCATTTCCGACCCTCCAGGAACGGGCAGAGGTACCGCCCATGCGCATCAGCATGCGCCTCGCAGAGTGCTTGGACAGCCACACTGTTGTCCAACATCGAAAACTTCTTGTTAGTCAGCCTCCCGAGGCCTGGGCGCTTGGGGCGTAGTGCTGCTTTGTGTGGCTCTTCGTGCCTGGCGCGTCAGCGTCGCAGAGTAAGCTCTGATTGATTGCAGCGCTGGCGCTTGTCGCCATGTGTTGCTGGATTCTCTGGTTGACTGTTTGAGTGCAAGACTGCTGTCTCTGGTTCGCTTCGGCGTGCGAACCTCATCGACTGCGGCGCCGACGCTGCACCAATGGTGCCGGCAGCTTTCCCGATCTTTCCGATCCTCCAGCTTGTAACCTTACACCTCACACGCCCAGCTGCCCAGCTTTCGACCAGTATCTGATTTCCCACCTTCACCTCAAGCTTTCGACCTCGCATCTTCAACCAGGAGGCTTCGGCTTCCTGCTTACGACGTGCGCTTTAGATCCGCGGGCTACCTGCTTCCAGCTTCCGCCTTCACGTCTCCACCTCCCAGTTTTCGACCACGCATCTCCCAGCAGCTTTCGACCCCAACCTCCAGCCGCCAAGTTCTGCCTCTCAGCACACACCTTCATCGGGGAAGCGCAAGACCCGAGTAAGCCGGAACTCGGGTTTGCCGACGCTTTTTTGACGAGCGCGTCCTGGATTTTGACGGTCCAGTTTTCGTGGGATGTCTGTAGCGGGAGCTCGCGTCAAATTTCAGATTGGGCCTCGTCATTTTTATGTAGGCCCCGTCGGGCCAACCCGAGTCCCCCGTACCCGAGTCTTACGTCTCCCCGACTTCAGCTGTCCACCTCGCACGTGGAGCGCGGAGCCCTCGACCTGCGCCTTCCGAACTCCAGTGCCGATCGACCGATGTGCAGCCCCAAGCTTCCTCCTCCTCCTCCTCCTCCTCCTCCTCCTCCTCCTCCTCCTCTCCTCCTCCTCCTCCTCCTCCTCCTCCTCCTCCTCCTCCTCCCTCCTCCTCCTCCTCCTCCCCCCCCCCCCCCTCCTCCTCCTCCTCCTCCTCCTCCTCCTCCTCCTCCTCCTCCTCCTCCTCCTCCTCCAGCACCCGACGCCCTCTTTCGTCCACACGGCTCATTCACAGCGCTAGGAGTCTCCAACCGCCGGCCACCAGACGCAGCAGTGCGAGCCTCGGATTCCACCCCCCCTTCTCCCAGCCTGCTCTTTCGTCTACACGTCTCATTCACAGCGCTATGAATCTCCAACCGCCGGCCACCAGACGCAGCAGTGCGAGCCTCGGATTCCGCCCCCCTGCTCCCAGCCTGCACCGCCGACGATCCCCGAAGCCTCCTCGCAGCAGCCCAACCTGGGGTAGAGCCAAGAAGTAGACACACGTGGACGGCGACGTTCCCACCTGCATTCTCCAGTCCCTCCACGCATGCAACGCAACCGCAGCGAGCCAACTCAATCACGACATCGACGCGACCATCAAGCAACAACCCAAGACAGCATGCGGTCACTTACGGTTCTTCGCAAAATTTGCACGTTCTCTCAATGACGACCGCATTGACGAGGTGATCAGCGAGATTGACAGCGCATTGGTATTTCACAATTTGTTCAACGAAATTTGGAGGACAACAGATTCAGATCCCCGCCTTTGCCCCCCCTTTCCCCCCGCCCCTTCTGTCCTTCATTTCCTGCTGCCTTCTCCTTTACATGTTCCCTCTTTGCCCCTTCCTTCCCTTCCCCCCCTGCCCATCTTCTTGATCCCCTTCTTTCTCCACTCTCCTCCGTATCCCCTTCACCTCGTTTTGTCCACCCTCTCCTCCTCCTTCCCTTCTTTCTCTTACCTCCCTTCCCCCCCTCCACAAGTACACGCTACGAGTACTACTCTCTTCTTCCCCCTGACTGTGTCCTGGAAGTGCCCCGCCCTCCCCGGGCATTTCTCACACAGGCAGGAGTTGTAACAGTTGTTCTTCCATGGCTTTCAATCGGAACGCTTTCGGTGTCTCAAGATAGTACTCCATCTTCAGCGTTGGCCTCATTTCAGAGCGTGAATTACCTACCCCGCTTTCGCTTCCAGGCAACATCAAGTCATACCACGCGCCTCCTCGTCAAGCGGCCTGACCAGTACAGGCCGTAGTTTGGCCTCGTTTGGTATCTCTTGGAAGCGAGGGTGGTCAAAAGCGAGGTAGGTTTGTTTTCCCCCTAGCGTTGGCCTCATTGCAGGATCGGCGCGTTGCTCCCGTCGTCCAGGATGGTGCTGTCGCGAAAGCTCGGGCCCCGTTTCTGGATCCGAGGGCTTCCGCGTCGTTGTCGCCCCGTTCCTTCCCCCTCCACCGCCCCCCCCTGGTTCTCCTGCTTCTCCCGCTTCTCCTGCTCCTCCTCGTCCTGCTGCGGTTCCTCCTCGTCTTCCTCCTTCCTCATCCTCTTCCTCCTACCCATCGGCCACCTCCTCCTCCTCCTCCTCCCCCCCTCCTCCTTATCATCATCATCATCATCATCATCATCATCATCATCATCATCATCATCATCATCATCATCATCATCATCATCATCATCATCATCATCATCATCATCATCATCATCATCATCATCATCATCATCATCATCATCATCATCATCATCATCATCATCATCATCATCATCATCATCATCATCATCATCATCATCATCACCACCACCATCATCATCATCATCATCATCATCATCATCATCATCATCATCATCATCAGCATCAGCATCATCATCATCATCATCATCATCATCAGCAGTCAGCAGTAGCAGCAGCAACAGTAGTAGCAGCATCATCATCACCATCCTCATCATCCTCCACATTACACAGCGGCCCTTTCCAGATTGCGCGTGCTGCGATAAGGGTCCCTTGGAGGCTCCAGGTGCGCTACGCTACCCGTCGGCGGACAGAGAAGCAGTCAGCGCAGTGGGAGGGGACGGGTGGACGAGGGTAGGATGCCAGCTGTGGCACCAGCGCGCCTGGCCTACCCCTCTCTCTCGCCCTCTATCTCTCTCGCTCTCTCCTCCCCCTCCCCTCTCGCCTCCTTCCATCTTCCTTCCCGCCGGAGGAGTAGGAGGAGGAGAAGGAGGAGGAGGAGTAGTAGGAGGAGGAGGAGGGGGAGGAGGAGGAGGAGGCGGAGGAGGAGGGAGGAGGGGGAGGGGAGGAGGAGGGGGAGGAGGAAGGAGGAGAGGAGGAGGAGGAGGAGGAGGGAGGAGGAGGAGGAGGAGGAGGAGGAGGCGGAGGATCCTTGCCTCCCCTCCCTGCCTCGCCCCCTTATCCCGCCCCCTTATCGCGCCCCCGAGCCGAGGCCTGGAGGCGCTGGCCCAGCGCCAGGCGCCGCTGTTCGTGCCCGACTGGGGCGCAGCAGGCGCGGCTCCCCTCCTCGCCTCCGCCGCCCCTCCTCCTGCAGCGCCTCCTCGTCCTCTTGCCTCCCCGCTTCGTCCTGCCCCCTCCCTGCCCCCCTTGCGCCTCTTCTGTGCCCTCCTCCTCCTCCTCCTCTTCTTCCTCCTCCTTCTCCTCCTTCTCCTGCTCCCTCTCCCGCCTCCTCCTCGTCCTCCCTCCTCCTCCTCCTCCTCCTCCTTCCTGTCTTGTCTCCACCGCCTCGTTCCCTGCCCCCCCCCTCCCGCCTCGTCCCCCCCCTCCCGCTCCACTTCCTCTTCCCCTGCATCCCCATCCGTTCCTATTGTAGTGGCCTGCGGCCAGTGCCGCCGATCCGGGGCGCTTCTGATGCTATTATTGTTGAAATGGGCGGTGACGACGACAACGGACGACCAACGGTCGACGAGTGGGATAATTACGACGACGACGGACGAAGGAGTTAATGACGACGAACCGACGACGACGACGACGACGACGACGACGACGACGACGACGACGACGACGACGACGACGACGACGACGACGACGACGACGACGACGACGACGACGACGACGACTGACGGCGAACGGCTGCCGACGACCGACGACTGGTGACGGCGACGGGTGGAAGGTTCTTCGTTCATCGCTTTCGCTTCCGAGCAATACCAATTCAGGCCGTGCACCTCTGGCCTGGCAGCACGCGAGTGAGCGCCTCTTGAGGCCTCTTTGTTCTTGGGGCTTCTTGGGGGCCTTTGGGGCCTCTTGGGGGCCTCTCGGGGTCCTCTTGGGGGCCTCTTGGGGACCTCTTGGGGGCCTTTGGGGGCCTCTGGGGGCCCCTTGGGGGCGCCTCGGGGGCATCTTGGGGGCTCTTGGGGTCATCTTCGGGTGGAGGACTAGAAGGGTCCGTTCGGGTTCACCTTCTTGAGGCCATCTTGGGGGCCTCTCGGGGTCATCTTGGGGGGCCTCCAGTGCTATATTGGGGCCCTCTTGGACCGTCTTGGCTCCTCTTGAGGGCCTCTTGAGCTGTCTTGGGGCGATCTTGGGGGCCTCTTGGACCGTCTTCGGCGCTTCTAAGACGGAAAAGGCGATTATGTTAAAATGCTTCAAAACCTATTAGCCATTTTATTATTGTACCCTCTTGGGGCCCTCTTGGGGGTCCTCTTGGGATCTCCTTGGGGCGTCTTGGAGGCCTCTTGGGCCGTTTTCAGGCCATCTTGGGCGTCCAGGAGCGCTCTTGGGCAGTTTCGGGCGCCTTCTGGACCGTCTTGGTGGCCTCCTGGGCCCCTTTTGGCCCGTCTTGGGGCGGTTTGGGATTCCCGGGGGGGGGGGAAGAAAGCGTGGACCCGATGAACCCCCCCCCTCCCCCCCTACCCCGGCAGAGCCCCCCCGGCCCCCCCAGCAGAGCTGAAGCTCAGGTTGTAGCTTTCTTAAACTCACACGCCGGATCGGCGGATTTCACCCCCTCCTCCTCGGTTCCTCCACTTCATCCTCCTCCTTTCCGTTCTTCCGCTCCTCCTCCTCCTCCTCCTCTTCCTCCTCCCTCCTCCTCCTCCTCCTCCTCCTCCTCCTCCTCCTCCTCCTCCTCCTCCTCCTCACTCCTCCTCCTCCTCTCCTCCTCCTCCTCCTCTCTCCTCCTCCCCCTTCTCTTTCTCTCCTCCTCATCATCCGCGCCTCTCTCCTCTCGCCGTCCTCTTCTACATCCTCCTCCTCCTCTCATCTTGGCGTCGTCTCCGTCACCTCCCCCCTCCCTCCCCCCATCCTCCCTCCCTCCCTCCCTCCATCCCCGCTCCTCCTCGTCCTTCGCTCCTCCGCAGGCGCGGCCGTGGGCCCGCCCGAGGGAGAGCCTGCGAGGGCCACGCCAGCGATGCCGCAGAGGCCGTGCACGGCGGCACGGGGCAGGGGAGCAGGCGAAAAGGGCAGGCAGCAGGGGCGTGAGCAGCGGCGGGCCACAGCGGTGGGGGAGGAGGGCCTGAGGAGAGCAAGGTACACATCGTCCGCGCACGGGTGCGTTTTGATTAGTCTTCGGACTTTTGCTTCATCGTCCGCGCACGGGTGCGTTTCGATTAGTCTTCGGACATGTGTCTAAACATCGTATGTATTCTGGCGCGCGCGCGGGAGATGCAATTTCTCGTAGTCTACGACCATGTGGAATACAAATCCCATGTAATAGAAAATCCCATGCAATAAAAACCTCCCTGTACGGAGTGTGGAGGTGCGACACCAACACCACCAGGGGGCCCACCTCCAGGGAGGAGGTCTACGATGCCTCCCCGAGCTGGAGGCTGGGGATATCTCGGGCGGGAGGGGGGGGGGGGGGGGGGGGGCACACCACCAGGGAGACCCCCCCTTTGCTCCTCGCATCTCCTCGCCCTGTTGGTGTTGGTGTTGGTGTCGCCTTTCCTTGTTCCTGTGCTCATACCGCTACCCTTCGGCCGTTTTCCCTCCTCGGGCCTCCGGGCAGGCCCTCCTCGCCACCGCTGGGTTCGCCTCGAAACCCTGACGTCCGGGGAGCAGCGTTGAGTCGGGCGTGTCCCTCTACAGGAGGAATATTCAAACATGATATTCATGCATTTTTTTACAGTATGTTTTGAGGCTATGTTTGATCTTTTGTCCAAAATCCGCCCGCCGGTATGGGGGACATGCCCGACTTAAGAGCAGCGGTATCGGTACCTTTTTGGTCTCCCCAGCGGGAGCGGGAGCAGCAGCGGGCCGCAGCGGTGGGGGAGGGGGAGCCCTGTTCTCTGTGCTTCGGTTGTGATGTCTACTTTAGCCTTAATGACCAGAAGCCATCTCGAGCACGAGACAACCAGTGCCGAAGCTCGAGGGATCTTTCGCGTGCCGGGCCCTGGGGAGGCACTCGTCCGACACTGCCTCGACACTCTTTCGACACTCTTCCAGGTGCTCGAAAGTGTTTCTGGGAGATTCTAAATCACCCCCGCGCCCCCGACATCAATGTTAATCTCAGTAAAGGCGGTGCTTTGGGGTTCGAATAGTTCTGTCCACTCACGCCCCCCCCCGTCGCCACGCCACCAATATTAATTTCGGGGGGTCGGGGGGGCATCTTGGGCCACAGGGTTCGAATGTATTGTCCATGTACGGGAGCAGCAGAAGGCTTCGGTCGGGGGGGAGCAGCTGCGTAGGCATAGTCTGGCGGAGGTCCGCGCGGATCCTGTGGGAACCGGCGCTGCGCCCCCGCACCCCCCCCCTGGCGGCGCCCCTGGCGCCAGGGAGCGCGCCGGGGAGGGGACCTCGGCGCCGATCCAGGAGAGCCGAGCGGTCAAGCAGGGGCGAAGCGTCCCGGCTCGCCTCTAGCCCCAACCAAACAATGTTGTAAGAACCTTTTGTCAGAGCCCCGAATCATCAGGGGTAACTCGGGTCAGGGTTAACTCGGGGTCGTTTTTCGGGAATCCGAACCCGAGTTACCCCGGACCCGAGTTACCCCGGATAATTCGGGCATCCAGAGCCCCACATCATCAATGGTAACTCGGGTCAGGGCTAACTCGGGTTCCTTTTTTCGGGAATCCAAACCCGAGTTACCCCGGATAACTCGGGCGCCCAATTTTGTGGTTCCCCCGAAATGTTCTTAGAACATTTCTGGCGGAGCCTGTCTTCTTCTATCACATCGGGTTAATGCTCTAAAACCATGGTTTTTGTTTTTCGAACATCTTGGGGTTCTAAGAACACGTCGTGGTAGGACTACAGGAATGCCGGGACGGTCGGTCCCTGCTCAGATCGGACCTCCAACAGTTCACACACTGTTCATGTCGAATCCTTCGCAAGTTCTTGATTTTTGTGGGGTGCCAAGAGCCTTTCATTTCTAATGCCTCTGTCCCGGGCCTCTTCCTGGCCACCAGGGGGCCAGGAACAAGGAGAAACGAGCACACTTAGAAGTGAGCACGATTAGAAATGAAGGACGTGTACGTTTATGCCGCTCTGTCCTCCTCTGCATGCGTAGGCTGACCGCCGCGGACGAGCGTCCGTTCATCATGGGGGCACTGCGCTCCCGACTCTGGCGGGAGCCCCCACCCCGAGTTGTGACAAGGCTCCGTGCCCCGTCTATCAGGAGGGGAGAAAACACACAGACACAATGAATCGTCGATTCCCTCGAAATTATAGGAAAGTATGGGAAGTGGGGGGGAAGACAAAAACCCAGAACAGATGGGAAACATGGGGGAACTGATTATTTGTGTCTCTTTATTTGTGTGTCCCAGGGCCCCTTTAGTCGGATCGGCCACCAGGGCGCCGGGGTGTCTGGGCGTCGGGATGACCTCGAAGCTTCAGTTTTGGCCCCCCCGCGTGAGCGGAGACAGAGGCCCCATCTCCCCAGTACGGCGGAGGCGTCTGTCAAGGCATCGTCCCAGGAGGCGCCAGACCCTGGAGGACTCCTTATCTCCTCCTCCTCCCTCCTCCTCCCTCCTCCTCCTCCTCCTCCTCCTCCTCCTCCTCCTCCTCCTCCTCCTCCTCGACCGATCCACGATGAGAGTTCCGCTGGCTTCCAGACCCTAGATATTCCTTCTCTGAGGACGGGCTCGAGCGGCCGCGTGTCCCGCGCGCGACCCGTGACGCGTCGGCTGGTGCGCCTCGGTGCGGCGGCGGCGGCCGCGGCGGCCGAGCGTGCGCAGCCGCGTTGCGTCGAGTTCACCTCACGGGTTTCGGCCCTCGAAGGCCATCCACGGATTGTCAAGGCATCGTCCCAGGAGGCGCCAGACCCTGGAGGACTCCTTATCTTCTTCTCCTCCTCCTCCTCCTCCTCCTCCTCCTCCTCCTCCTCCTCCTCCTCCTCCTCCTCCCTCCTCCTCCCTCCTCCTCCTCCGAGCGTGCGCAGCCGTGTTGCATCGATCTCCTCAGCGAAAGCCATCCACGGATTGGATTGGGGTTCTTCTCTGGTGTAATCTAGTGAGGGTGGCGGTGATATCCACGACCGATCCACGCTGAGAGAATCCACTGGCTTCCAGACCCTGGACTCCTTCTCCCAGGCTTCATCATCCACTGCCCGCACCGTAGAACCCTCTCCTGCTCCTGCCGCCCCCCCATCGTGCGAACGTCCTGAAGCAGAGTCGGCCTGTGCGGCGCGGCGCGGCGAGGGGCTAGCTTGGGGAGATTTTGCAGAGCGGATCCCGCAGTTGATCAGCGTGCGCTTTTCAGAGGGCTTCTGTCCTTGCCCCATGCATGCGTGCCACACGCGTTCTCAAGCTGGGGCGCTCACCACTCTCACGCACGCGCATTCGTGCACAGCCCGCGTGGGCGTCCTCGTGCCCACGAGGACATCTCGCACGACATAACTGGCATGATGGGAACGGTGTCGCGGCACCGTGCGCCACCAGGCATGGGTGTCGCTTGCCCAAGCTTGGCGCAGAACGGCACGAGAGAGGCCGCCTCGCTTGCACGGTCGTCGGCCACAGCCTTCAGCCACCGTCCCATCCAAATGTTTTGGCCCAGCTCGCGGGACAGCCTTCCCACGTGTCTGGTCTCCCCGCTGGGCGGCACGAGGAGAGATGCTATCGTACAGTGCGACACTTAGTTAGGACGTCTGGAACACAACAAACGCCACCCGATCTGCGCGATAATGAGGGCGCTGGTCTGGGCTCGAGGCGGACGAGGCCTCGTCTACCTAAGGCCCACGTTACCAGGGCGCACACCCGCCATCCGCACAGCTGCAGCCAAAGTCACGCTTGTCAGACTTCAACACTGCACTCCCGGGACTATCAACGTCTTGCATGATGCGCATGCAGTCAGAGAATTAGCTTCATTACCAATCGAACACTTTTGATGCACATGGGGAGGGCCGTCGGCTGAGCCCGAGGATAACCCTTCCAGTCATCAGCCGACCCGCCCTCATTGCCAGCGTCAGCATCACCGATGGCGGTACCTACCGTACACGCAGGCCCAGCACCACTCCCTAGTCGCCAACCGCTCGAGTGCTCACCCACCGACCCATCGATCCCGCAGACACCTCTTTCGAGATCGTGCCCCCTTCGGTGCCCCCAAACCGGACGAAGTCGTTGGTTGGACGGAGATGCTCAGTCGGTCTCGTTCCAGGTCGCGTGGGCCTGCGGGAAGTATATCCGCTCGGCAGCTGACCGCTCGGTGCTCTCTGCGGCACTCCTGGGAGTCCGCTTGTGGACGGGGCCATGCAACACCTATGCATGGACCGCTCGCGCGACGGGCACCACGTCCCGCAGAGATCCTCTGCGTGTGTTGTGCGCGCCGACTCCTACCGTCTAGCCTCTTCCCACAGCCCTAGGCATCGCTCGAACTTGTGTATTTTTCCTTCGGTGAGGGCCATCGAGGAGCATCCTGGATCATTCGGCGGAAAAAACCACGCAACATTTCGAAAAAAAGCACAGGGAATGCACGTCCGAGCGATGGACGGAGCCGGCGTTCAAAGATTTTCATTGGCTTACGCGGCACCGCCAACCCCTTGAGGGCCCTGGATGCCTCTCCTCTGGGGGCGGGGGGGCGTTGTCGCAGAGGAGTCTCGGCTCCGCGCGTCCATGTGGGTAGCCCAACGCCCTATTCAAAAGGGTCACCGTTTTTTTTTTTTTGTTTTGTTTTTTTTTCCTTGAAAAAAGAGGGGAAAACACAGACACAATTCATCGTCAAATCTCAAAACAGGTGGGAAACTATGGGAAGTGGGGGGAGGACGCAAACCGAGGAAATATGGGAAACTATATGGGAATCATGGGATGTGTGTGTGCGTGTGTTTTTATTTGTGTGTCCCTGGGCCCCTTCAGTTTTGGAGCCTCTTAGGACGTCTCGGTGGCCATCTTGTGGGGGCGGCGACCATTTGAGTCTCCCCCCTCTTGGGCTCCTCTTGGGGCCCTCCTGGAGACCTCTTTGGCAGTTTTCGGGTTAAGTCGGGCCTGTCCCTCTACTGGAGGAGTATTCAAAAACATTTTAAAAATAGTCGGGGGATATTTTTTGTATGTTGGAGCATTTCTGTGTATTTTTTTGACTATTTTCATTTGTCGTTCAAAATCTGCCATGGTCAAATTTGAAACCTCGGAGAGGTTCCGGATAGCCTCTTGAAGCACTCTTGGTGTCATCGTGGGCCTCTATTGGGGGCCTTTGGGGCCCTTCTTTTAATTGGAGGCCAGCGATTCCCAAAAAGGTGGACTAAATTGCGCCCTCCCTTTGTATCCCGGAGGATCGGGGCCCACCTGGGCCACTCTCAGCGGTCTCTTAGGCGATCTTGGCGCCATCTTGAGGCCTAGGGGTGGTAGGGCGCGGGTGGAGGGGGGTGGAGGGGGAGGGATGGGCAGTTTATAGGCGGATGGTGAAGGGATTGTTGGAGGGGTGTGAAGGAGAGGGTGGAGGCGGGGGTGGAGGGGGCGGTGGAGACGGGGGGGAAGGGGGGGCAAGACTCCCAGGGAGAACTTCCTTCAAAAAAGCGTGCCAGTCCCTCCCGGCCACTCGACTCGTGGGACCACGGTGCGCACAATCTTGTGCTGGACTGGGCGTGGCCAGCGGCCAGACCAGGGTTAACGAGGCAGGGAGGACCTCCAAGCTCCCAGCTTTCATCCCCCTCCCTCCACTCGCCCCCTACCCCCCCCTACCCCTCCCTACCCCTCCCTACCCCCCTACCCCCCCCCTCCACTCGCCCCCTACCCCCCCCTACCCTCCCCTCCACTCGCCCCCTACCCCCCCCTCCACTCCCCCCCTATCCTTGTTCCTTATTAGAATATACCCCCACCTACCTCGTATTCCGGCCGATAGCGGCCCAATCCGGGACCTCCCATCCGGACTGTAAAAAATCAATACAAAGTGGCCATTTTCCTTCTCAACATCGTCTTTCTTGTCGTCGACGATGCGAAAAGCGTGGCAGGAATGGGACGCGGCGCACATCGCGCGCGCGGCCGTCAATCCGGGCCCGCCCATCCGGATTGTAAAAAATCAATACAACGTCTCCGCTTTTTCCTCTCAGATGGCCTCCCTTGTCGCCGACGGTGCGAAATATGTAGCAGGAATGGGACGCGACGCACATCGCGCGCGGACGTCCATGCGGGCTGCGGGCCCTCCCATCGTGATTGTAAAAAACAATACCGAGTTGCCGTTTTTCCTCGCGGCGCACATATGGGACGCGGCGCGCATCGCGCGCGGCCGTCAATCCGGTCCCGCCCATCCTGATTGTTAAAAATTACTCCGACGGAAGGACCCCACATGAGAATCTCTTTAGCTTGCATGGGGGTATCCTCCTGCCCCTTCCCTTCTCCCACCTACTCTTGCCTCCTCGCTCTCCTCCTGTCTGCTCCTCCTCCTGCCTCAACCCCTGCCTCTTCCTCCTCTTCTTGCCTCCTCCACCTCCTCCCCCTCCCCCTCGTTATGCTTCCTCCCCCCCATTCCCCCTGCCCCTCCTGCCTCCTGCCTCCTCCTCCTGCTCTCCCTCTCCCTTCTCCTCCTCCTTCTCCTCCTCCTCCTCCTCCTCCTCCTCCTCCTCCTGCCTCCTCCTTAGGCCTCCTGCCCCCTCCTGGGGCCTCCTGGGGCCTCTTGGGGCCTCCTGGAGTCTGGGCCTTCCGGGACCTACTTGGGCCTCCTCGGGCATTCCTCCTCCTCCTTTTCCTCCTCGTCCTTCCTCCCCTCAGCCTCTTCCTGTTCCTGCTTTCCTGTGTCGTCCTGCATCATCCCTCCTCCTTTTCCTGGCAATCCTCATCCTCCTCGTCCTCGTGCGGAACACGACCCAGAGGAAGCGCACGACGTGCGTCCCAGCCGATACGCGCCGGAGGACGACCCAGAGGAAGCGCGCGCCGGAGGATGACCCGGAGGAACCACGTGAGCTGCGGGACCCATAGGAAGGCTCCCGCCTGACGCGTCCTCACAATTCACTCACAGACGAGGGTCCCGCTTGATACTTCTTCCAAATTCAGACCTGAGGAGCCCAAAAGTGACGACAGTTACAGGAATCCGATGACCCGCTCGGATTAGTAACATGATCTGCGGGCCCCATAGGGAGGGGGCTCCCGCCTGAGACTTGCTCGCAATTCACTCACAGACGAGGCTCCCGCCTGATACTTCCTCCAAATTCAGACCTGAGGAGCCCAAAAGTGACGACAGTTACAGGAATCCGATGACCCGCTCGGATTAGTAACATGATCTGCGGGCCCCATAGGGAGGGGGCTCCCGCCTGAGACTTCCTCACAATTCACTCACAGACGAGGTTCCCGCTTGATACTTCCTATAAATTCAGACCTGAGGAGCCCAAAAGTGACGACAGTTACAGGAATCCGATGACCCGCTCGGATTAGTAACATGATCTGCGGGCCCCATAGGGAGGGGGCTCCCGCCTGAGACTTCCTCACAATTCACTCACAGACGAGGCTCCCGCCTGATACTTCCTCCAAATTCAGACCTGAGGAGCCCAAAAGTGACGACAGTTACACGAATCCGATGACCCGCTCGGATTAGTAACATGATCTGCGGGCCCCATAGGGAGGGGGCTCCCGCTTGAGACTTCCTCACAATTCACTCACAGACGAGGCTCCCGCTTGATACTTCCTCCAAATTCAGACCTGAGGAGCCCAAAAGTGACGACAGTTACAGGAATCCGATGGCCCGCTCGGATTAGTAACATGATCTGCGGGCCCCATAGGGAGGGGGCTCCCGCCTGAGACTTCCTCACAATTCACTCACAGACGAGGCTCCCTCTTGGTGGATGATGGTGATGGGATGATGACGACGGTGTTCGATGATGATATATGATTGATGATGATGACGATGCTGATGATGATGATGATGATGATGAGGAGGAGGATGATGATGATGATGATGATGGTGGTGGTGATGGTGGTGGTGGTGATGATGACGACGTGATGATGATGGTGGTGATGATGAGTGTTGATGTTGAGTGATCGTGCGATTTTGATGGTAAATGGTGGTGATGATGATGGGGACGAAGTGGTGAGTCAGCGAATAGTGATGATGATGATGATGATGATGATGATGATGACCGTTCGATGCCGATGATGGTGAGTGATCGTGCGATGGTGATGGTGATGCTGATGGTGATGATGATGATGAGTGGGGAGTGATGGTGATGGTGATGATGATGCGGAGGAGGAAGCAAAGAGGAGCAGAGGAGAGGGAGGAGGACGAGAGATCCTGCGCGGAGGGTGTGCAGAGAAAACAAGAACCCCACTTAGGATGTGGGGAATCAATACAAAGTTTCCGTTTTTTGCACATATGGGACGCGGCGCGCATCGCGCGCGGCCGTCAATCCGGGCCCGCCCATCCTGATGGTTAAAAATCAATACAGAGTCTCCGTTTCTTCCTCTCAGCATGGCTTGCCTTGTCGCCGACGGTGCGAAATATCTGGCAGGAATGGGACGCGGCGCGCATCGCGCGCGGACGTCCATGCGGGCTGCGGGCCCTCCCATCCTGACTGTAAAGAACAATGCAGAGTTGCTGTTTTTCCTTTCGTCATGGCCTGTCTTGTCGTCGACGATGCGAAATGCGTGGCAGGAATGGGGCGCGGCGCACATCGCGCGCGGACTTCTGGGGCAACCCCGAGGCGGGAGGGGCCACCTTACTTGTCAGAAACAGTGCCATGCTGATTTTTCCCTGCCCACATAGCTGTTCTTGTCGTCCACCCCGCAAAAGTGCATGGCAAGAATTGGGCGCGGCACACACCCCTCCCACCCTGCTCGAAGTGAATGAAATGACCTTCCCGCTTGGGCGCCGAGCGAAATTTTCCCAAAGTTGCGCTCTCGCTTGGGCTCGGCGCACGTTTTCAGCTCACCAATTCATTGGGCGCCGGGGCGTTCCAGGAGGCCCTGGGATGACGAATGCCCGGGAGGTTTTTGCTTGTTCAGGCTCTTGGAGGGCCTCCTGAGGCTCCCCGCGGCTTCTTGGCGCTATGGCCGTCTGGAGGCCATTTTGGGCATCTTGGAACGATCTTTCGGCGACCCAGGGCTCCTCGGATCGTCTCGGGGGCGTCTCAGCTCTCTTGGGGCGTTCCTGGGGCGCTCTGGGACCTGGAAGTCAGCGCCGAAGAAGAAAACCATCGCTGGGACCGGCGTGCCCAGGACCTGCTCGGGGTTCCTTTCGTCCGGGGGGCCCCAGGGGCCGCCCCGCGCGTGCAAACTAAAAGATTGTTAACTAGTTACCGGAGATCTTAGCACGCCTCTGGCCCGTGGGGCTGGCCCAGGACCTGCGCATATGGGGCGCGGCGCACATCGCGCGCGGGGAACGTCTAGCCGCCCGCGGTATAAGATAAACGACGGGCGTCGGACGCGACGCGCTTGCTTCTTATGTTGTGGGAGGGCGGGTGGGAGTGGACGGAGCCCTCTCGCTCGTTCGAGCTGGCTAACTTGACCCCCCCCCCCCCCCCCCCTACCCCCCATACCCCCCCTCCAAGCTCCCAGCTTTCATTCCCC